TTTTTCCAACTCGCCACAACAACTTACCTCCGGGGACATCCCTTAAAGCTACGTGTGCCCCAGGGTAGATTGAATGTGAGAAAATATTTCTTCTCCAACCGTGTCGTGGAACCGTGGAATAATCTGCCCGAGACGGTTGTCAAGTCTCAATCTGTGGCGACATTTAAATGCAGGCTTGACAGACATATGCTACAGCAACAAGCGGACTATGTGACGTTTTAGCCATGTGACCAGTGACATGTGTGAATCAATGTCTGCATACAATTAATGCTGTAATTTCTACACATTCTGCTAATTTTTCGATTTTTTATGTACAAATAGGGAGTTCAAAGGCGTAAGCCTATTTCCCTCAAATACACTGACTGACTGACTGAAGGAAAAATACAATGGAATCACACACAAGACAAAAATCTAAAACGTGCTGGTAATTCGAACGGACTTTGCTCAGAAGAGTAATACAGAATGCCCAATTACTCCTAGGTTACAAAAGGAATAAAGAAATAAAGGGAAAGCCTTTTAATAATATCCACCAAATGCGTCAGAATTGCAGGCTAAAGACATAAGGTTGGATACATTTCACAACTTTTAAGATTATTTCCAAAAGCAAAAAAGTTCTTATCTCCAATGATGGTTGTCCTGCTTACTATAATAATGAAACATAGTTTGGTGCAAAAGACAACATTGGAGGGGAATTACAGGCACTGCAAAATTGAAGCATTCACGTTTAGATTTAACTACCCCAGGCGTTTAATATTTTTCAGTTCCCTCTAAATTCTTTTTAAAAATCAATTAGATATGTAGGAACCGCTCCAGTGTCCCCTTCTCAGGCTACGTTTTGTCGGTCGATGGTTGCGACAACCGGTGACAGTCCGTTGACACACGGCTATCCCCGCCGGCTAGATCTCAGGCACCTTATGTCCAGCTACAGTGGCTCCCGGTTGCCCTCAAAATCTCTCCTCAAACCAAGCGCGTCGGACGGCCTGGCTTGATACCCGTGAACCCTTGTAGTATGTGCCCCCTATTCCTCCCCTAATCGGTCCAAACACATGACTAACACTCGGCCAGTCACTCCCTCCTGCTGCCACAGACATGCACCCCCGCGTAAATAGCACACCGATACTGACGCGCTCCCGAACGGACGCTTAGCTTTTGCACACGCAGTCGGCCAACTCACGGCAATCTGCCCTGTGTAGAGTATATAAGGACTCGCACAGCTCTCAGACTTCTAACATTAGACTGGACGAAATTGTTGCTTGGATTCTAGTTGGTTTCACATCCCTGACCTCCATGGCTACTGAAAGCTGATGCATGTTGTTTCCATCTGCAGCAAGTTGATGCAGTCCCGAAGACACATAACACTGTGAACACTGTGTTCAAGGGCTCTAACTTATTCTTCCCTTAACAAACTAAAGTGAGTCGAACGTCTTATAAACTGAGGCCTGTTGTAAAGTCGCCAACAGATGCTTGTGTGTTGTAACACTGTGCATCCAATCACTGCTTAAAATTTTTAGTATTATAGGGTTCACTTGATACATCACACTCTATAAAAGGAATCAAGTGTCTTTTACTTTTCTATTTTGGGTTTTAACTATTGTTTCTCCTCGCATTGCTTTTAGTATCACTTGCTAATTCGTTCAGACGTTTTATCCTCTTCTGCATGCCCAACCAGGCCCTTTTAGTTACGCGCGTAACTACCTCCAAACTCTGAGGCAAATTTTTGGTTTCTTATGCATGCTGACTAGCATCGCACGGGATATTCAGTTCTTACCTCAGGCCAACCACTTTGTGTACACAGAGTTATTCACTTTTCCTATAATCCAGGAGACGAGTGTTTTGTTTTAAAAACCCGCCGCGGGCGGTCCTTACAGTTTTCAGCAGCCAGCGGTTTGCTCGCGTTCAACTCTTTTCGGAGTTATGGTGTGTTCTTGCCGAATTTTCTTTCATTTTGACGAAAAAAACTTTAGACACCCCGCTCTTGTTGCCGTCTTTTAAAAACTTTAGGTTCATGCCTCACCGCTTAGGATAGCTTGAGTGTCAGGGAATTTTGCTTTTCGGCAACATATTAATTAATATGTTGCTTCAGTGTATAGGTCATGAAGGAATTGTCACATTCAGTTTGTGACTAAGGTGTTCGGCATTTTTAAATCACTTTCAGTCCGCAGGCTTCACTCTGCACCTGGAAATGCACTGCAGGTATTTAGGAGTGCTTTTTGCCCCAGCCCTTCCGAGCCAAAAGTACCGGGGGCCAATAGCATGCTTTTAAAACCATGTTTCACCAAGAAAACGCGATTCGTTGGTAATTAAGACATCATATTATCATAGTCACTGGCGTCGCTCGTTTATATTGGTCGCGTATGACATAATTATGCTGCTGTCGTCAGCCGGCTGCGCTACCCAGACCCGTACATCCGGGTATTTTTGATTCGGTCGTCAGCTTGCCTCATCACTTAGACACTTTTAAGACCTTTACTTGATCGCGCGCGTCATTCGCTCGTTGTTTCCCAGTCTTGTCCTTGGGACACTACAGTTCGTACAATTCTTGTAATTTAACACCCCCACTTGCTTTAGGCTACCAAGTCTGTGGCAATCTGTTGGGTCGTAGTTTACGGAAGGTCGGAAGTGACGCGATACATAGTAAGTTACGGCTGGAAAACGATTAATGTTGACTGGAGAGCTGTGTAAAGCTTGGCGTGACGATCGACTTCCCCACTTACTTTTTATTCCGTCACAGGAACTAGGCTGACGACCCATATAACATTGAAGTAAAGGCTAAGGAGAACCCTCCAACAGTTCCAGGACCCTTAGTTCTGCTTTTTGTGATTGTGCACACATCTGACTTTTCCGGCCTCTTCAGACGCGATGAGCAGCAGATTTTGGTGATTTGACCCCATGTTCTCCGTCCGCGAGGGCTAGATATCATTGGCCCAAGCACCCTTGACAGACCGCGTTGAGCCAATTTCATCAGACCTTTTTGCCGCCGTCAGATTTGGGGCAATAGCGTGAGGGCGACGAAGGATGTGTCAAAGCCACCACTGTAATCTTTATGGGATGGCCTGAGGTACCGTTGCGATGTTATCGCAGCGAGTACTGACTGTCTTATCCTACGAAGTCGGTGTAATTCGCTCAAACAAAACTCGGGCGACGGTGGTCGATCACTTTTCATTCGTCTTTCACATGCCCAGCCCACAAATAACAACCATGCGGTGAACTTACTGAACAGATGCCTCGTACACATAGATGTTGGTCATGGTTTTGGCATTACAAATGGGCTGTTCACGCGTCGGAAGGCTCACAAAAGGTCCTCTAGCAGCATTGGTTGGGTCGACGATGCTACATTAAGTCTGTTTGTTTGAAGCTGTTTACTCCTGTCCGAAAACCAGAATCACGAGCACTGTCCTCCTACAGTCCAAGCAATAGCTATAAATTTATTCTCTTCGCAACGATTAAATCGACTGACTAAACGACTTCTTTTACCCGCTACGTTATATCCCATGGGTCAGAATAGCCTAGCAATAGCAGAGCAACATCACCAACCTAGTCGAGCCAGTCAGTCAGTATTGATGGGACCCCAGTGGGTCTTTATTAAAAATCATTTATTTATTTACTATTTTATTTATCCTATTGCAAATTCGACGCTAAATTGTATAAAGCCCTTCGGAAAATTCGGCCAATGCCGTAGTTTAATAGAATGGGCAACAGGGTGAAAACTTACCTAAAGACACCGTCCGTATAGGCCATTTGTTGCTCGCGTCACAATTGTTTCCGTGACCGTGTAGATCTGCCGTTGTTACTTTGTGCCCGGGTACTCTTATAATTGTTGAATCGCGGTTGTCGGGATCTAACTTAACAAGCCATTCAGTCTACGTGACTATGACCATCCTTGAACTACGCACTGCATTTTTTGGAATCGTCGCCCTAGATGTGCGCCAGCAGATCGGAACAAACGTGGAAAATATGGTTTTCTTTGAAGAATTTGCTGCATATTGCCTTTTGGAATACAAAAACATCTCGCACAGAAACTCGCAAATTGTGCATGCCCTGAGGACTTTTTGCGATGCCTGCTGGATGTATTTGCTCAGGAGACCTATTATCGTGTACCCACAGCTGCCATTTTCATGTCATATGTACCGGACACCTGCCGCTAACCGACCACAATTGAGTGCGACCGAATAAAACGGTGGCTCGAATCGGTCCACGTGACCTCCATCGGGTGTTCAAGTGGTCAGGGCCTATACTAACTCGGTTACGTTGTTTACCTCTGTCCGCATGCGATCTGCCTTGTGTGCCAACTGTCGAAGTAAGCTCCGAGGATTTTTCTTCCTAGATAAGGGTAATTGTCTTGCTCTTTGCGTCCGAATTTACCTACCCAATCATGATGAGCAATTGTGGTGCAGATCTATTGTAAGGCTTATGATAACCGGAGCCGACGTCTCTGCCAAATTGTCAAGGTGACCACGAGGTGTAGAGCTCCAGATCACCGAAGTACGTGTAGTCTTCAGAACCTTAGGACGGACACGAGGTCAGACGGGAGGCGAAGCTAAAGTTGCACAGTTGTTTTAAGCCAATGGGACACTATAGGTATCCGCAGAAGCTGTTTGCCACATTCTCTTGTAAAAAGAATTTTTCTAAGATATTATCTCATGTAGATGTGACTCGATAAACCTTCAACGATAAGGTTGTTCTCTTGTACGCCTGGAAAACTGGTGCGAGGCGGCAAGAGGGACCAAAGACCAGATGGCGTTTTTTATTTTAGGAACCCATAGCCAGTGGTGATCATCGACACTCCTAGCCTTTATCTCATTTGTTATTTAGAACTTTATCCAAGTTAACAAATTTTTACTTAATAAGTGTTTTGACGGATTTCGAATAATTCATTTTGACCCAACTGTGAAAAACTCGGCGCGTCGATGGGATTCGAACCCACAACAGCAAGAGGAAAGCTTTAGTACAGCCAACGCTATAGCCAACTGAGCTACGAGGCCCCATCAGGAGCTGTAAGTTTAATCACATCTGGGTCAGTCAGCTTACTGTATCAGATTTGGTGGATTTCAGACGTTGCGGTAGGTTGGGTGGGTAACTTGACTCATGTGATTATATTCACGGCTCCCAGTGGGGGCTCGTAGCTCAGGTGGCCAGAGCGCTGGTTGTGCTAAAGCCTTTCCCTTGCCGTTATGGGTTCGAATCCCAGCAAGGCGCCGAGTTTTTTATAGTTGGGTCAAAATTAGAAATCTTTAGTTATACAGAAACTGAATACTGTTAATGGCCAGCTCTTTTCATTGTTGAAGAAGCTGCTTCAGTACTGACCTAGGAGGACACGAAACCAATCGAAATAGCTTATCATTGTAAGAAGGCAGAGTACCTGCTGAACAACCACCTGCCCATCACGATTGGGGTTGCTCACCCACTCTTGTAAATGTTATTTTGCAGGAGACTCGCCTAACAACCGGCACGTGCGCCTTGGGCAGGCAAATATTTACAGTAAGAATAACTGTTAAAACGTTATCAAGTAAGATTTACGGTAGAGTATGGGCACAATGATGCTGTTGTATGCTCGACCTTACGGCCAAACCAACTTACTGGGAGGTCTTTTTGCTGTAAGTGTGAATTCCTGTCCGGCTCATGCACGCTCACGCATAAAACGTCCGCACGGGATTATTGGCTGCTGGTAAATTTTCATTGCCTTTTCCTCTGCACCTGTGCTAAAACCTCGGTTGCCTAATGCTTCTAGGACGTCTTCCTCACGGTTCGACGGGCCAAGACTACGCTGTTTCTCAGCGTGAAGGAGAGCATGGAGGTGCTTGAGCTAAAGAAGATGATTGAAGGCATACTGAAAGTCCCGCCTGAAGATCAACTGCTGTTACGTCAAAGCACCCCCATGGACGACCACAAACCTCTTGCCTACTACAGTCTAAATAGTCAGACCGCCCGCGCTCACAGTCCTGCAACTCTCGGACTTTGTCTTCGTGATGCGGGCAAGTATAGTCAGAATGCGTTGTTTTGTATTGAACCAGTGCTACACAAGCCTCTGATTCGTGTTTTCAAATTCCTGGGATACCGGTGCCATAGAGGGCGGCATCCCGTTGAGACTAATGACAGCATTGCTGTGGCCCAATAAATTTAACAGTCATCAAGGTTCCCTCCAGACCCCCACGTTGAAGTTGTGGCGCTGGCCCTTATTAGTTATTTCTGCCTTGGTAATGCACCATTCTCTGTAGAGTTTTGTGCTGGGCACCTCGAACACTGCTCACTTTAGGATTATCAGTCTCGATGAGTGTGTTTTATGAACTATCGGCACCTATTAGCTTATTTTATACTGTTCTGGAATCCAGTTTTGTTTATCATCGATATATCGATATTTTTATTTAATCGGAAAGTGGATTCCAGGTCAGATTCAAAGAAAACCGACTTTTAAAACTGATTTGACAACCCGGCCGCCTGCATATAGTGAATTATCTTTGGGTTCGAACCGTTTAGGTACCGGAAATGAGAGTGTTTCTAGCTAACATGCATAAAGAAAACGTTAATATGAAACGAATCTCGAAGTTTGGTCTTCGAAATTCTCTCTATAAAGCGTTAGGTTTGCATCACCATATCAGTTTTCCTTCAACCTATCTCTACTGACATACTTTTGGGTCTCCCTTTTGTGGTTTTTGATTGCCATCAATTCCTCGTCTACATCCTCCATTCAGCGATTTTTTCGTAGTTTACTTGTGGGTGCCAAAATGCCCGGCCAACCTCCCGGTTGGTTGCTCGGTTTGGTTTCGTCATCGTTCCTCAGGGCTACCGAGGCTTTGCAGCCCTCTCTTTACACATCCAACTCTTTTTTGTTCAACCTGCGTATCCATGACTAGACGAGTTATGCGCGATCAAATTATTGCACCATCTGACCGGGAGTTTATCCATCGTAAAAGTATCCAGCTGCTAACTCGCCTTGGTAGGCATTGGCGCAAGGCCAACGCCCCCTGCTTAGTGTTAAGCCTAGCCGTAAGGTATTATTGAGGCGTTCTAACTAGAAACATTTCTGTCGAACGAGATGATTATTTGACGTCACCTCCTCGCCCGCAGAGCTGGAAACGTCCATATTCCAGCAGTCTTTGGATATAGATGCCTAAGGAATGCCGTGTTAATCAAATGTTTCGATATTTATATTTCAAAAACATCTGTTTTTCGGTCTGCTTTTGACCAGAGAAATTTCTACGGATGCTTGAAAAAGGTCCACTGGGCCGAACCGTATCTAGTAAACTGCACCAGTTCACGGAAAGGGGGAGCTAGTGACGGGGGGGTGATTAACGTGAAATGTGAATGAATTCCAGTGCCCACACGGAGTATTCGGAGTGTTTCCCACCGTTAAATAGAGCAGTTGCCACACGTGACATCCACTCGTAAAGTCATCTCTTATGTGTCAAACTTCTGCCATTCGTTAGGTTAACCCCCCCCCTCTTCCATTTACTAGTCTGTCTCAGTTTTAATATGTACTTCGCTGTGGTGCCTTACTAGGCCTATTTCAGTATCGCCTAGTCACACTCGTTCTAATGATTTCCAGAGAGCGGACAGTTCGAAGTTCTTGACATTACACCTTACTCAACTCCGCCTGAACTGCCGGAGGTGATGCGATGCCAGGAGAACCTACCGCCCCAAAGTGCTCAAGAAGTCGGCGCTGGCGTAAAACAGTAGACTGTGAGGGTTGCCTTCTGTGCCACCGAACCATTCGACGAATTCACCGCTTGACCTGTTCACGTACATTCGCTCATTTAGCGATCTCTTTCGCCACCACAACCGCCCCGCCCCCCTTCCTCCGCAAATGCGGTCACTTCCTTCTCTTCTACAAGCACGCAAACATACACGCACATCTGTACCTCCCGCTTCCCACTCATTACTCTTACCTTCCCCATACAGTCTCTCCTTCCAATCTATTTTGCCTTTTCTTCACTTACGACGTCTTACTCTTGCCTTGTTCTCCCTGTATCCTGCTGACTTGTCCAGTTTACCTCCTTCTCCTCCCCGACTGTTCTTACGAAGCTGTGTTATCGCTTCCTTTATTGATAATAATTTGTCTCCCTCTCTGCTGCGCTACTCTTCTGCATAAAAGGGAAGAAGTGGCGATCTCACTGACCGCAAGTCCATTGCCTTGATTTTTTAAACTCAGGAAGGTGTCCACCAGGCCTCCAATTTCCCAGGGATCTTGGTCTTCTACTTTTGTTGTCATCACAGTCTGTCCTCTTGGGAACTCCTACGTCGGCAAGTCGATGTCACTGTTTACACTAATAGTCTCAGTCCTTTGGCGCCTGTGCTTACTCGCCACATTGCCCCTGTGTCCCTAGCATGTAGTACCGACAATGAGCAACCCTATGGGCTGTCAACACAGTCATCTCTTAGTATAAGGCTCTTGTTCCAGGTCTCTGATCATGTGATCATCCATTCGGTCCATTGCATTTCGGCGTTGGAAGTGTAAACTGAGGCCGGGGGTGGGGGGTGGGATATTTTATCCCTATTCGGAGAATGTGGACTCACAGACAGATTCGTCTGTCGGCAGGACTCGGCCCGTTTTCCGTCTTACAATTAGGATAGGTCGTTGGAGGCCACTCCCATGTGGCACTGAATATCCCCAATCAAGTGTGACGGCCGGTGCCCGAAATGTTGAGGATGTGTGACATAAGTGCTAAGTGACCTATTCTGTCTGGGCTCGGGCATCCTCATAAGCCGGAAATGGCCATTCCAACGTCTATGTCGATAGGAGCTCCCGAGGTGGGGAGTGGGCAGTGAAAGGATCAGAAAGTTTTGTTTGGGGAGGGAGAGAGAGGATGTCCGCTACGGTTCCACAAATGCTACTCTGCCCTGTCATGCTACATTTTATACAGGGTTTTGGCTGTTCAATTTGAGAAAGAAATGACTCTGATGCAACGGCAAATTTTACTCCGGAACTTAAGTAGTAAAGCCTAAGTTGCTTCAATCAGATTACAACTTGACTTCAGGGTACTTATTTCGGTGAGAGAGTGGTGCCCTTGCGCGCATTTCGGATCTGAGATTAGTCGGAGCCAAGTGCACCATTTGCTAAAGAAGGCGCTAAGGGTAATATCTGCAATCAGGCAAGTTTGGCCTTGGACCTTTCAGTCCAGACGTGAAAAGCAAACTTTGGTCGTTTACTCCGGTCGCCGTCTTCCCAATAAGCGCTGCTGCTTGCATTCACAAATAAATTCGGCGACTAAATGGCCATTAGAATTCCAGTAAAAGCAAGCAGAGACTGACAGAAAGGATCGACCTAAGTTTCGGATTAACTACCGTCTCGTCAGCAGCAGGCTTGTTCGTCGACGGAGGAGTGTTATTAGGAGACGGAAAGAGGAGAAGAGGTGTGGGGAGGAATGCGAAAAACTGACAAACGCATCTGTGGGGGCTGTGGGATCGAAAACAGAGATACAGGGTGTGTATTGCGTCGCGGACCATAGGATCAGCTTCAGCCTGCGGTTGCCGCTACGATGGATCCGAGGCATTGTTCGCTCACCCCAACGCAAGTCCATACTCAGGAGAAGGTTGAGTTACTGAAACTTTAGTGCCAAAGAGTACCGCGCGTCTAACAGCGAAGTCCGAGGAGCTAAAAGGAAAACGTTTCTGCTAGCCGGGGGTTGCAAATAGTGATGGCTATCTCGCAGTGTCTTTCTAAGCTAGTCTTTGGATCAAACGTAATCACGACTGTTTCAGGTCTAGAATAGCACGGACCCATATGGCGAATTGTCGATGGTTCCTCACGCATTCTCTCAGAGGAGCACGAGCTATTGTTAATTGCTCTCTTCAAATTTGCGAGACTGAGTCTGAGAAGCAAATGCGACACAGGTACGCCCGAACGAATTTTCATTTCTGGTTTCATGAAGTGTCGATTTAGTATTTTGTCGGCATCCTCATCACTGCATGCAGCCATTGGGTTTATTCTGCTTTTTGCAGTTGTATCAGGCCGACTTGTATCCTTTTATTGATGGGTCCAGTTTTTCGACCCGTTGGCATAGCCATGCTAAAGTATTCCGGACTTCTCCGTGTCCGGTCAGACTTGAAGCCGCAGCAAAAACAAAGATCGGAGGTCTAGGTTCCTTTGCAGCTGCGTACAACTGGGATCCTGGGGGTCAATTGATGTCCAATGTTAACGGCAGTCGATATTGCGTAAAACATTGCTACTGAAAGAAAGTAAGTAACGAGAATTGGAGATTTAGTTAAATCGCGTCGGGATGCGTCTGCGTAGCTCGTGCACACTGAGCGCCCTTGACCACGTATGCATACAAAGAAGTCAAATGCGTTCTTTAGGAACATGAGATTTACTGAGTAAAGTTTCGACGCCGGTCCCCCAGGTCGCTTTCAGACGCAGACGGGGAGCAAATGTGCTATTAGTCTGCATCTGACGACGACGTGAGTAATCGGCGTAGAGAATTTACGCAATAAAGTTCCTTTTCACAAATAAGGCACTTGACTTCAGCTTACAATTCTTGGGATCCCTACCTTTTAGTATATATATATATATGCATGTATAGACGGAATAGTATTGCCGACAAAGACAAGGCAGACTGGAGCGTCCATCTCTGGCTTATTAGCCGTCGTCAGCCACTCATATCCAGACCGAAGTGTGGAACACCTAGTGGCGATCCCACGACCTGTTAGTTAGAAGTCCAACGCCTTTAACAAATGAGCCACGGGCTCGTTCTCCTGTCGGCTGAGATCGGGAATATAAAATGGTAGAGGGGACGCTCACCGACCGTTTTACGGGACTCACCCGTCCCGTTATGCCTTAGAGCTCTCTCTCTAGCCCAACCAGCAGCCGCACAGTGGCGCATGATATAGGCAGAATAGTGTTGTCGATAAAGACAAGGGAGACTGGGATGGCCAGTTCTGGCTTATTAACCGACGTTATCCAGTTATACCCAACCCCGAAGTGCGGCTGCTGATTGGGCTCGAGAGAGAGCCCTAAGACACAAGGGGACGAGTGAGTTCCGAAAAAGATAGGGTTGATGTCACCAGCTCGAAAATTCACGAGTACAACTCGACTTTTCCGAAGAACCTCTTCTATTTTTTCATATATATATATATATATATAGGTACATGCATATGTAAGTGGGCGGAGTAAGATTGTCGGCAAAGGCAAGGGAGACAGGAGTGACAAATTTTGGCCTATTAGCCTCCATCAACCAGCCACACCAAACCTCGGGTTTTGAAGCCCCAAGGCCCGATCCCGCTGCCTGTTGTTTAGAAATTCAGTGCCCTAACCACTTAAACATGGGATCGTCGTCCTATCGGTTGCGACCGCGTATTTACCATGATAGAGGAATGCTCACCATTTGCGATACGAGACATCGGCAAGATATGTCGTTTTTGTGATCATAATTTGCATTTTAGTTGTTAGATGTTCTGCTTTCTCCATTTTAACTACGTGTTTTTGCAATCCAGTTCGTATTGTTCTTCAAGATTTCAATATGATTTTGTCAAAGCTGGGTTTAAGAAAGGGGAAAATTAAATCCGAAGACAGTCATTTTCGTCATTGTATGCTGTGGAAATTGCGCAAAGGAAACGACGCAAAACAGCTGCAAAACAGTTTGTTAGGTTGCTTTAGATGTCCCCAAGCGCCAGTGTTGTTTTGCGAAATTCCGATCGGGCGATGTCAACTTCTCTGATGCACATCGTGCTGAAAGACCAGTGGGGGCTGAATAATGACCCTTTGGGCACAATCGCTGGATAGATTTTGGTCAAGCTTTTGCAAAATTACTAGAAGAACTAAATCTGCCATGGTCATTCTATCCAGGAACACCTGTAGAATTAGGGGAAGTCCAGAAAACATGGAGTTCGTGTCCCGCGCCAACTTTCGGTAGAAAACAAAGCCCAATGTCCAAAAATCTGCAACCCTTTGCTAGAAGTGGGGGCAGTTTCTTCAGCAATTTGTCATTGGAGATGAGAAATTAATTCTATACTTTGACAAAGAACACGAATATGAATGGCTTTCCTCAGGTCAGACACCAGTTCCTACGCGGCGAAATCAAGCCCATACCCAAGGACCTCTTGCTGTATTCTTGGTGGAGTATGGATGGCACAATTCAATTTCAGTTACTGGAGCAAGGTCAACCTGTAACAGCGGAATTCTATTGTCAAAAGTTAGGGCAGTTGAACCAAGCCCTTCCCATTAAACATACAACGCTAATCAATTGAATGGGTGGTCTTCAGCTGCATGACAACGCGGGACCGCATTCGGTCTGACAGACCCAGAATAAGACCTGAGATTTAGAGTGGGATCTTTTTCCTCAGCCACCTTATTTACCTGATTATGTGTTAGCTGATTGTCATTTGTTTCGATCTCTGCAGCACCTCCTGGGTGAAGGGAGTTTTCGAAATAGCGTTTTTTCTGTTTTTTCCGCCTCTGTCTCTGATGATAGGTTCAAGTGAGAATCCGAAACGTCAGGCGAATAAAACCCTTGTTCCAGCGACCGCTTCTTATTCTGATCAGTATCGTTTTTATTGAATCTGGGTAATGCAGACTTAGTTAAAAAATTGGAAACACTTTTGACAACGACGGCAGTTATGCAACTGATTAAAAAATAAAAAAGCATTTCGCCAAACACTTTTATTGTCATTTAGTAAGAAAACTACATCACTTTCCGGCGTCCCGATCCATTGGCTTCCCGAAGCAAGCAAGCTCCATGTGAGCG